GATCCAAAATACAACAGTGAGGTTCACACGCTTACTTAATTTATATATATATATATATATATAGGCGCTCCAGAATTGTGAGCCAGGCCATGCGGCAACAATTGTCGACCTTAATCCTCTAACACAAACGCCAGATGATAATTTCTAAAGCAGAAGATTGAGAACATATGAAGATAATTAAAATAAATGATATCGTCACCCTGCCCGCCGACAAGAGACGTCCGACTCTCGTCATGGATAAGGTTGAGAACTGCACAAATCTAAGCAACCTCTTGCTGTAAAAGAAAGCTTAAGCGCTACCGACTGTGAGCGAGTTTAAAAAGCTCGTAAACAGCATAAACCATACGATCGACAAGCTGAGGAAGGCGGGAGCTCTTACGACAAGGGAAGCTTTGACGACAAATGTGAGTGATGCAGCGATGGCGCGCTTCTACGGCCTACCAAAGGTTCACAAGAAGGGGGTGCCGCTACGACCAAACTTTGGGCTGTTAAAGTGGCTCTACAGGCGACTTTGTTTCCTTAATAAGGATTCGGAGTGGACAGTGAAATTGGCTGAAGAGTTCTTGACGCGCATCAAACATCACGATGTGGAGGCAGATGAGATGATGGTGTCATCTGACGTGGTCTCATTATTAACCTCCGTCCCACTCGCGCTGGCTATCGACTCTATTGATGGCTTTCTCCGGACAAATTATGATGATACCGACCAACAGCTCAAACGAGCACACATCATCGAGCTCATAGAACTGTGTCTTAAGACCTTCTTGACATTCGACGGCCAAGTCTACGAGAAAAAGAAGGGGACACCGATGGGCTCGCCTCTGTCTGGACTAAATGCTGAAGGAATTTTACAGAGGCTCAAACAGCTGATCTTCAGCTAGTACCCCCAAAGCTCTGGGCCAGATACGTCGAAGACGCGTTCGTTGTAATCAAAACGAGCGAGGGAACGGCTTTCAAGTCATTGTTGAACTCAATATTTACCGACATTCAGTTTACTATGGAAGAGAAAATCAAAAGTCAGTTGATCTTCCTAAACGTATAAGTTACGAGATTGACAGACGGGAGGATAAGGACAACAGTTTATCGTAAGGCAACAAATACTAGGCTCATCCTCCAATTCCGAAGCAACCACCCTGTTGGCCATAAACGCAGTTGTGTAATAAGTCTCTTTCAACGTGTTCAAACGCACTGTAGCGACGTCAGTGGGGGGAAAGGGGGGCCGAATTAATACAGGCTCTTTTTAAAGCCAACGGCTAACCGAAGTCCTTCATACGCAATTGCCTCAAAAAGCCTCATTTTGGACGGTTGAGTGGAGAAAAGCCCAAGTTCTGGCCCTCAATACCCTATGTGAAAAAATATCAGAGCCGACGGCGAGATTCCTGAAGCCTTTTGGGATTGACGTGGCTCATAAACCAGAACGCACCATCAGACGCAAATCATGAAGCCCAAAGAACCGCTACCGAATACATAAAAGTCGGCGGGGGTCAACAGTGTACCATGCCTGAATTGCAATGCGAGGTATGTTGGCGAAACGGGCAAACGCCTCGGTCCAAGACTGCACGAACACCCACTTGCAATCAACCGCAAGGACAAGCTGACGTTGGTATATTGCCACATACGAGAGATGAACCACGATTTTTTTCTTTGAGAAAGCGAGGGTAATTGGTCAACCCAATGAGAAGATGGTCAGACTAATGCTCGAAAGTTGGTCCTTGACTAGCACAATCAACCGAGCTGTAGATCTACATTCCGCATACCAGGCGCTGCGTACAAGGCTTGGATCAGTCCGGACAGGACCAGTAATGCAAACGGGCACGCGGGACCGACAGTCAACGCCCACGGAAAAGAGCGGGTTTGGGGGCCAGAGGTCATGTGTCCAAAGCCGAACACTGGCTCACCGATGCGCCCGCGAAGCTGAATGATGCTCACCTGAACAGCAATGACCGATCAGTCCACCGGCTGACGTGGGAGAGAACAAGCGACACGTTGATTTGGCTACAATTACGCCGACCCCAAAGGAAAAATAGGTCACGCACGCCTGTCAGCAGTCAGCCCTGGGGATGTCTGAACCGGTCAGCGTAAACAGGCAAATCAAAGTTCCTGCATCGAGCACGGCTATAATACGAGGCAAGCTGCAAGACTGAACAACACAATAATCGGCATAAGCCACAAGTACGCTAATCTGATGATGGAAACAAGGAAGTTTCCGAAACGTCAGATCGAATAAAATATGATCCATGAATTCACCCTATCCTTTTTTCGTCGTCAGATAAATATATTTATTAGATATTTAAGGCTCACCGATGGTGGTGATATTGCCTGTAGCTTAACCAATCGAACGGAAGTGGGGACTCATGTTTAATGGCTGACCTGACAGATTAAGATGTATTGGTCGCAGGCTGCAATGTCTTGAATTCTCTGCTTTATTTCGAGTCGCATTTTGAAATGTGGATCTGAGATTGTTCCTTTACTGTTGTCCAACGTGGAAGTTATGCCGCACTTTACAAAGGCATGTTAAGGTAAATTACCCTTTACTGAAAACTGGCCTTCTCTTACTGCCGGTCAGATCTGTAGTGATTTTATATTAGTCAGAGCTCATCAGTCAATCATTCGTCATGTGCGTCAGTGACGAGCGGCTACTTGTCGTTTCGCAGGGGCACATTTGAAAATCATGTTTCGATCGGTAAACCGACTTGTTATTACCCATCCCTTTTTGGAAGAGTTCGATAATTCAACAATTTTTCTAACTTTAACCACACTCATTGGCGCATTATGTAAAAATCGCACTGCTAACCAGGATTTATTTTATTCAAGCCTCCGTGGATATATGCAATATTCCCATTAAGAAGGGACGCTGCAGAGCCAGTCTTGAGCGATACGGATATAACAATGAGACGGGAGAATGCAGGAAATTTATATATGGCGGCTGCGATGGAAATGAAAACAATTTTCATTCAAAGAAGGAATGTGAAATGGCCTCCCGACAGTGCTCATCCAATGGTACATCGATTATATTACTTTATATCTTTTCAGCATTATTATTTCCGTACTTAGAGTAGGTAATCTTACTCATAAAATGTGTCGCAAATTAAAAATTATTGCCAGTCACTGGCAGACCGATACCAACGCATGAATCTAATATCGATGTTATTTAAGTACAACTTTAAGATAATTAAAAACATAAAAGAAATATTAAAGGCGGTATTGCGGTGCTTTGAATTGCCCATTTTTTAGAAAGGGCACAAGTCGTTATAATTGAGTAGACTTTGTTTTAAGGTGTACAGAGCGGTTCTAATAAAAACCCATCAGCAACTTTGAAAGCACAAATAGAATAATGTTTAAAAATAGTGTTTTAGTGAAGTTACCATCTACATTTCCTTCACGAATTAGCGTAAATGTATGCATGGCGGTTTTCCAACAGCCTACAGTCTGAGTATTGATTCAGAAACAGTCTTCTGTGGATTCGTGGTATTCCTGATGCATAGGTGCCTCTCGTTTATTAGCCCCGCAGATGTTCACATTTACGCTTGAACTCGATTTCGTCAACGTACTGGCAACAAATCGCCTCGTCCTGAAATTCAGCAGCGACGATAGGCGAAACAAGGCGAAAGTAGTTTTTAACAGTTTACCCTTCATAAGACGTCGTTTCAAAGTTCAAAGTGAGCGAGGAATGTCCAATCGCCTAATGTCTGGCGAACACCACGTATGAGGGAAATGTCATGCCCGTTTATCAAAGGAGCCCAAACGTGAAACAAAAGTGCGAATTGAGAGCAGTAAATCAAAAAGTAAAAATGTCCTTTACTGAGCTAAATGCATCAATATATCAGGAGGGTTCGCATATAAAATGCGTAATTTAAGGATATGTGGACTTCGAAAATGATATAACTCGCTGCTTTACAGGAAGTAAGATAAAATTCCTACAGAAACCTACGCATCCGCAAATATTTTGAGACCAAGATAGGAAACTGTGGGCCGTAATATCGACTTACTAGCAACCCATCCGGTATCATTATTGCCGTGCTCATGACAGCACACCAGTCTTTCATTCGAAAACAGCAGTTCACACTAATACATTGTTGCATGAATAATAAAACGAAAAGAGACCAAATCGGTGTCTGCAATGCTCAGTTCGTTAGTGACCGCGTAATGAACTCCCGGCTGACTGGGCCTTGCAGCGCTGGGTGGATATATCTAACTCCGTGTGTTCAAACATCGAAAGGAAAATGAACCGTGTTATTACCCGCCTGGTACTTGAAATCCTGTGGAGCGTATGCGCACTCGACCCTTGTCCTCAATACCAACGCGGCAGAGAAGGGGAACGCAAACGGCCACGAAAATGTGTATTAGGAAATTGCAAGTCAAAATTAACTGGAAGTAACGCATATTTATAACGCCCTACTGTGCTTCGCCGGCGTTCGGCCCAGTGCCCTTCGGGAAGAACATTCGTGACGAGCCGGTCGATAATTTGAATATGCTAACCAATCAGGCCCGAGAGGAAAAGCCAATGGAGAGGCGCCACGATTAAGATGACAGCGCAGTAGAGAAAACGCACGTGGCCTCCCGTGATTGGCTGGCTCTTGTTTTTGGGAGTGTAGGCACTCCCAACACCTCCCCTCCAAGTAGGTCAGTACCGCTTCTGGCGTGGGTTGACCTGCATCAGCCGTCTTGATCGGCGCACGCGGTTGGTCCGGCGTCTTAGTCGTGGTTTAATGCCTGGAGATGCGGGAGCGGTAACTGATACCGAAGGTGGTATATCCGAAGGGGGCCCAGCAGTGGGTTCGGGAACCGACTGATCTGCCGGGATGGCGAAGGTATCCAGTAGGATGTCAAGGGAGAGTGAAGGCGCCGACTCGAGCCCAGTTGTGTTACTGCAGTGTCGCCGTCGGATCTGGTTGTGGTGGCGAACCCAGATGTCATCATTAACGTCGACGTCAAACAACATACTGCCTCTGTGCGCTACTACGGTTGCTTCAATCCAGTCTGGGAACCCTGCTTGATAATCACGAACGAAGACAGGTGTTCCGATGGAGAGCATGCTGCGAGAGACTGGCGAAGTCTGCGCGGGCTGCCCACCGCGAGGGACGAGGGCATGAAATGTTGTCTGCAGTTTTCGGCCCATCAAAGCTTCGGCAGAAGAAACGCCACCAGGGGACACCAGATTCGGTGTTGTCCTGTAGGAAAACAGCCTGACCAAAGTCTGTAGTACGACAGTAGCGAATGTCATAATCGTAGCTAAGAAGGATGATTGCCCATCGCTGAAGTCGGCTGGCTGAGTAGACGGGAATGCCCTTCTTCGAACCGAAGATTGACAGCAATGTTTTGTGATCCGTCAACAACGTGATGTGGTGACCGTACAACAGTTTGTGAAATTTCTTGACGGCCAACACGAGGGCTAGAGCTTCTTTCTCTATTTGCCCATAGTTCTTCTCCGCAGGGGTTAGCGTGCGAGATGCATGCATGCTCGCCTTTTCAGACCCATCAGGAAAAGTATGTGAGATGACGGCACCAACTCCGTGGTTGGAAGCATCTGCAGCAACAACGATCGGCAGCGTCGGGTCGTAGTGCGTGAGCAGCAGATTTGAACTCAGCATCGACTTTAGCTGGGTGAAGGTCTTTTCACAGTTGGGGGGACCAGCACCAAGGAGCATCCTTCTGCAGCAGATGGTTGAGCGGGGCCCGTACGTCATGCAGCGATGGTAGGAAGGCGCTATAGTAAATGATCAGGCCAAGGAACGAACGAAGTTGCAATGCATTCTTGGGTGCAGTCATCCGTTGGATGGCCCGAAAGTTTTCAGGATCTGGATGGCGACCAATGACGTCAAAAACGAATCCAACGTACTTGATTGAGTCGAGGAAGAAGTGGCACTTGTCGGCTCGTAGGCGAAAGCCATATTCCTGCACGCGTTCGATTACTGCGCACACTCGGTCTTGCAGCTCGGCAGGGGAGCGACGCACGAAGATGATGTCGTCCAGGTACCCAGCTGTGCCAGGGATGCCGGAGAGCATTGCGTTCATCGTTTGTTGGAATAGGGCCGGGGCGGTCTTGACACCGAAGGGCAGCCTGATGTATTGGAACAGACCACGGTGGGTATTGATGGTCAACAATTCGAACGACTCTGGGTGACCACGGTCTGCAGATACGCATCAGCGAGATCCAACTTGGCAAAACAAATGCCACCATTCAGCAGGGTGAAACGATCAGCCGGAACCGGTAGTGGATAGCAAGGGACTGAGAGAATTACCAACGGACTGGGGTTTGGGATTGCGTTTTGGCCGGAAACGGTGCCTGGAATTAGGAGTGGCGGGGGCAGGCTTGCCTCCAGAAGCTAGTACTGATTAGCAAACCCCATCACGGTGTCCCACCTGATTATAGCTTTGGCAGCGATGCTGGTGGAAAGTGCAAT